CAATACATACAGTATAAAATATATATAGTTTTATACATATATATGTCATATATACCTGGTAACAATTCACGATCCACACTCTCTGTACAACTTGGGTAAGGATAGAAAAGATGGCCCTTTTCAAGGGGGTAGGGAATCATACGAAAAGTTCCCTCCCATGTACAATGAAGCAGATTGAGGGCGCCTTCTACTCGTTTCCAGTGCTGTAGATGGAAAAAGGAGTATGCAATAGCTTCGCTGTCTCCACGTTTGAGAATGTGTTCAGGTGGCAAGATTAGGCTTCGCATTTCTAACAAATACTGCAAAAGATAAAAAACATTTAAAACAAACATTATTAGATGAAATTAAGATTACAATAAAAAAAACCAGGAAGGACAAGTAGTGAGGGAAGGTAAGGTGGTAAATTGAGAAAGCAGGAAAAGAAAATAATGGAGAGGATAAATAGAAAGGAAAGAAAATGATAAAACAAAAAATAATACAATGAATAAGCATGTATATTACTAAAGACACATTATCTTTAAATTTGAAGTCAACATATTAAAGAAGATTGAAGGTAAGGTGGTAGATTGAGAAAGCAAAAAAAGAAAATAATGGTGAGGATAAATATAAAGGAAAGACAATTATGAAACAAAAAACAATATAATAGGAATAAGCATATATTACTAAGACACATCAGGTCAACATATTAAAAGAAGAGGAAAGAAAAAAACCCAAATGCTCTAGCCCAAAGCAAGATTAAACCACATGAGATTATAAAATTACTAACAAATCACAAACATCCATTTCTAAGTGAATTAATAGAAATTTTCTTTGATGGCATAAACATGACAAGCTTGTAACCTAAAAACAACCTCAACTTCTCCTTAGAGTTCAACCTACAGCCAACCTACTTACGTAAAATATCTACATCCTTAATTCTGACTACACATTAAATTTTCTTAACAACTGTTCAACTTCAATCAGCTTTCATCTCTACATCTCCTTCCTGTTATTTCCACCATTAAAAAATATTATCATCGTTTTCTCTTTGTCTCATAACAGAAAATCCTACATTGCTATTTTTTAAATAATATTGACATTTTTGACATCTTGGAATTTGTTAACTTGACTGTCTCAATTCAATATTATAATAAATAATTTGACATTTGACTTTAAACATATGCCTCAAAGCAAAACCAGAAAGGACCACACATAATGTGCAACGTCATCTGTTGCCGTGCAGCGTCGTCTGTTGCCGTGCGGCATCGTCTGCTTGTGTGGGCTAGGATGGTTACAGAAAGCGGAGTTGGATTCATTGGCCAACGGTTGTACAGCAGTCACACAATGCAGAATATGAACGGATTTAGTATAAATATTTCTAGATTTGGTATACTATAAACATTTTGAAATTTTCTCTGGAACATGTCCATTTCTTTCTTTAGCTTTAATCCCAATTTTACTATTCTATAAAACTATGATGCGGTAGACATTAAATATTCAACTGTGTATATCATTTTCCCCTTAAAAAGTGCATTACTGACTGTAATTAAATTTCTTGACAATATCATAAGCTAACTTGATATTAATTGAATATTTACTGACAATGATTCAAGCTTCAGCATATTTATGATACTCCAGGGATATCTAAAGTGTCCTCTTACCTATGTAAGTATATATTTAAAAACAAAGGTATAATAATCATTAAAATAGAATAAATGAATGCTTTACTCCTGGAAATCTACCTGAATGTGTGCAACCTAAGTAAAGTAATAAGATAATTTTGTTCACTGAACACTGAATAAGGCCCAATAAAAAAAATTATTAGTTTATCACCCTCGCGCGCATGTCTTTTTACGCGCGCATGTACTGAAAAAAAAAATTGTGACAAAATTTTTTTTTTGAAAAAAAAAATTTTTTTTTACATTTTTTTTATTTCTTTTATTTATTGTTTTCATTAATTTTATTAAATAGTTAGTAGATATTGTTTGCATTATCTAAATCATGTTTTACTTTGAATATCAATGCACCAGCAAACAAACCAAGGGTTATATTTGGCTTTAGCAAAATAAAAAATAAGAAAAAAAAAAAAAAAACCTCCCTCCCTCATCACTTTTCCTGCCCAGATAGGGTGATAAACTAATAATATTTTTTATAGTGCCTAATGACCACGATGCTTAATGTTGATTGCTATTTGCATGAAACAAGTAAGTAAAGATGGCCACCTTTACTTTCATGCTTGTGCATATGTAATTCACTATTCCTTTTTAGCCAACATGCTTCATCATTAGCATAAAGCTGTGGTTTGATGCTCGTCATGCAAGCCTTAAGCTTTGTCCAGCCTAACAAATTTTCTTTGCAAAAAAAATGTTGTATGTCCATATATAATCATGATGTGGTGTTATCATGTCCATATGATAGGCATGTCACATATCTTGTCAAATCAGAGATTTAAAATGCTTTTCTTTTAATCCTAGCAAAAATGTCCGATTTGATTTCACAACCAAAAACTTCACTTTGCAAGTCGCATAGTGACTTGGTTATAGGGCATTTAGGATTACAAGTACAAGTTCTTTTCTCTAAGCCTTACTGAGGGTGCCACAAAATCGGGTATTACTCCTCAAACCTCAAAGACTTAGTTTCAATGAAAAGCTTTGCTCGAAGGACTACTTGATACCCTTGGTAAATATGGCACAAAGAAAAAAGTTTCCAGTTTCAGAAAGAGGCAAACATGTGAACAAGGGGTTAAAAGGAGAACAAGAGGCCAACAATGAACAATCTAGGAATTCTGATAGCGAGCATTCCAAAACTGCCTAGGTTTACAACTTGTATAATAGAACCAATTTGTGAAAGCCCATATATAGTCATAATGATGTACAATATGTATAATAGAACCATAAATAATCTGTAAAATATTCTCAAGAATTGCACTAAATGATGAAAATAATTATACTGGGTGGCATTTAGCACAGCATGACACCTAGGTGCGCACATCAACATAGTGCAAGGAAGCTCAAGATATAATGAATTGATACTTGGCAAAGTCAACAGGGTATCTTTATAAAAATTAATATAAGCCTAATACCTTTGGAACATGTGGATTAAATTCAACAGCTCTGTGTATAGCTTCAACTGCATTCATTTCAGCTGTACTTAGTCCCCGCTTGGACGCTGCTTCTGGAGAAAATCTGAGAATCAGAAGAAAACAGAATTCAGAAAATTATAATATAAACAAATTACTGTTAAGTGAATTTAGTTTTTAATGTATAGCAAGCAATATAAAAAAAAATTGTAATTATATTCTGCAATTGAACCGTAGGTGTAATACAATCAACTTGTTGGTTTTATATTTATTTTGAATGAAAAATATGGAAATATCTAATACATTTATTACTAAAACATCTCTACAAATCAAATAATCCAATCAAACAAAGTGTTTAGAATAATACTTGTCTATATATGTTTGTTATAAATACATTACTAAATTTTATTGTGTTCTCTGTCTCGAACCAATGATTATGTTCAGATAATAAAATGACATCCTTCACAAATTATTTGTGTTATGTTCAATTGCACAACACTTCTATATCTTATTACGTTCTCTGTATTGAACTGATGATTGTTTATATATTGAAATAATATTCTTTACAGTCCATGAAATGCATTCATAAATTATTTGTGTTATGTTGACTATTAAGAATTTAAATTACATGTTAGATGTTAATTCCTTTTGAGATCGCTAACATACATTCATTAATTATTTACATGAAGCAAAGAGAAACAACAATGTGGTTAATATACGTTTTACTTTGACAAAGTGATATTCCGTTTTGCTCATCATCATAATCAATGACCAAAATAGCATCAGGAAACTGTAGGCGTAACAATGTTAATTGAAATAAAACTTTAAAAATTGCGCAATTAACTGGCATTGTTCCACCTTTTTTTGCGTAAGTGCACTATGCTTGATGTGAATTGGGTTATAATTGAATCCCCAGTAATAATATTATCTATTTTATGTCTCTTGTTTATACTTTAAATTCTACTGCAAATTGAATTTTATTACATAACAAATCAAAACATAATCTTTAAGGTGTGTCCACACTATCAAATTTTCTTTCACAAAAAAACTTGTATGCCCATATATAGTCATGATGTGCCTATATATGATCATGATGTGCCTATATATGGTCATGATGTGCCTATATTATAGTCATGATGTGCCTATATATGGTCATGATGTGCCTATATATGGTCATGATGTGCCTATATATAGTCATGTGCCTATATATGGTCATGATGTGCCCATATATAGTCATGATGTGCCTATATATGGTCATGATGTGCTTATATATGATCATGATGTGCCTATATATGGTCATGATGTGCCTATATATGGTCATGATGTGCCCATATATAGTCATGATGTACAAAAATGAACTGTCGACTGGGGGTCTTTTCACAAAAAGACATGGTTACAAAAAACACTTAAAAGTTAAAAATGAAAAAAAAATATATATATTACAAGCATAATTTTAAAATTAGGCATGCAAAATAGTCTTTTGCATGAAATAACACAATATGTGGTTAACTTATTATCCACCACCTAATAATTTTCCTTTCCAACTTACTTATCACTAACAGCTCTTGCTTTTAGTAATGCTGCCGTATAACAGATTGTTGCAGACTTGGGTAATGTGATGTCATCATATTTAGCTAGCACGGCTTGTACATCGGCGTACGCCTGCATCTCCAAAAGTGTTTCAATTAAATTTTCGTGTATTTGGAATACGCTTACCATTGGGTACTCTTTGATTAACTGAGAAAAAAAAAAAAGGGGGGAAGAAAACATTTTTTTTAAATGTGACTGATTATCAATTCTATTTTCTAGGAATGGAAAAACCACAATCACAGACCCTGTGTCACCATTATCTATTGATTTAATTAATTTTCCAAAATCTGTCAAAGACGCCTAAATAATACTTGCATGGTGTTTCAAAAAGCCACTTTTGAAGCTTTCATTTAAACTTTCTATTTTATCAAACAAAGCGTCGTTCACATCACGAACTAACACAATCAAAGTAGATTGTGTTAGTTCGTGAAATAAAAAAGCGCGTCAAAATACGCGCTGTTGTTGTTAAGGACTTTTTGTGTGGTAAAGATTACACAATTGCTTGACAACCAATACACGCTCGTTTTGATGCGCTACTGTGATTTCACGAACTAACACAATCTGCTTTGATTGTGTTAGTTCGTAATGTGAGCGACGAAAGTAACTAACCAAACCAAATCCGTAAGTAACCAGATAAATATTTTCAACTATTTTTAAGCTTTTATTTATAAATTTAATACATAGATTTTGGGCCTCTGGTTTCCATTTTACCAACCAAAATGTATGGGTTCTACTAATGGTTGGCAATGAACATTAAAATTATGCCTATGCCTATAGCAAGAAAAAACATTGCCAACCTGGCAATCCTGATTGCAAAATATCACTGCGATTCGACAAAACAACAATTTATTTATTTGGCCTAACTCTCTGTCAGGTGTACATGTTGTGTAAGTTAGCTGTAGTATCTACATATCCTGTGTATTCTTAATTGATTTAACCGTAGAGAGTTAATCAAGCCTGATTTTAGATGCCTCATTTACACTATTGAACTGTTGTAAATTATGCACAGCAACATCTCATTCTAAATTATTCCAAATTAAATATCAATATGCATTGAGTGGAGGTTACGTCTTCACTGCTGTCTGTTAGCAAGATTACACAAAAACTACTGAATGGATCACCATAATATATAGTGGAATGGTATATAAATAATTAAAGACACCATTTTTGAAAGAAAAGGTCGAAGGACAAGGTCAGGGTCACGGAGATTTAATTTTTTGCCCTCAAGCATAAAAGAAAATAATGCAATTGCCCCAAGATTCCATTATTTTCTTGAGAGTATTCTGCAGCACTCAGGAAAACAATGTGCCTGAATATATGCGATTCCATTATTTCATTAAGGGTATGCTGCAGTTTTGCTCAATGTACACGGCCTGCATATTGTTGTTACTATATTCAGGCAGAGAAGGGAGGTACGCACTCTAGTTTATATACTGTGATGCTAATTCTAAATGTACATTGTTCATGAAAAGTTGATTATAGAAGCTATTTATTATCAGAAGCCAGAAGAAACAGAAATGACATTGGAAAAATTGAGATGAAGCACTCACGTCTCTCATCATTTTCACTGCTTCCTTCACACGACCTAATTTGCGGGCGCACATTGCAAGACGACGTTTTATATAAACAAGCACATTTGTATCTCGCCCTGCCAAAGGAAGAAAAACATCATTAACATTGAAGAAATAGTCATTTGTATTCTACATCATATACCGTAATGACGTGTCTGTCTTCTACACTAGTAGTGCAAGGTTGTCATAGGTTCATATAACATTTGAGAAAATCATTGTTTGGCTTATAATTCAATGTTTGAACCTGTGTAATGAAACAGGTCACAAGTATATAAATATAGCAAATTAACATAAAATATCATAGCCTGTCATATAACAATAATCGGTTTTTGCTCATATATGTTTAGAAGTAGCTCTTCTTAAAAAACGAGACATAAATTATATATAATGAAGAAATAGTATGCTAGAGGAAAGCTTTTCAGAAAATCTAATTTGAATATATAATACATATATATAATTTATATGTTCATATACATACAATACATAAATTTCTATTTGGCTTTCTATCTATTGTGCAAATTTTAGCTTTCGCTTATCTATTATGTATCACAAAAGAGATCTAGCCATCCCTTCCTATAGCATTGTTGTTTTGCAGCATCTTGCCTTTTGATCTATATATAATGAATATGAGACATAAAATCTATAACACTTGCTTGGGAGACCAGAACATTAAATGTTCTGGTCTATTGAAAGATGTTACAATGTGCTCTGTTAAGCTCTACCCACACTATCACATTTTATGAGAGAAATATAAAAAGGCCCATATATGGGTAAAATATGACATCATCACGTCTAAATATGGGTATGTCAACATAACGCCCAAATATGGTATAATGTGACATCATCACTCCAAAATATGGATGTAATATAACATAAACATGCCCATATATGGGTATAACATCATCATGCCCAAATATGGATGTGATATGACATAATCATGCTCGTATGATGGGTATATGACATCATTATGCCCAAATATGGGTATAACCTGATATCATCATGCCCAAAAATGGATGCGATATATCATCATGCTCATATATAGGTATAATATGACATCATCATCCCAAATACAGATGTGATATATCATCATGTCCATATATGGGTATAACATTATATCATCATGCCCAAATATGGATATGTATGACACCATCATTACAATTTACAGACAAAATTTACTAAAATTTGTCACATACAATTTGATAGTGTTGAAAAAGCTTAAGCTTTCCAGAAAATTGTCAAAATTTATAAGACTTTTAACATAAGAGAATTTAATGTAACTTAAAGAGCATCTATTAACTTACGATGTATTTTTTCGTTACTTGAGTTATGGTGTTGTAATGCTAAACTCTTTCGATAATTTGCCTCAGCAACTTTCAATGCTTGTTTCAGTAATTTTTCTACCTCTAAAATAGTGGTAGCTTCCTCTTCAGCTAACATGATCAATGCTGTAGAACATCTGTTGAAAAAAAAATACAAAAATAAAATCTTGTTTTTAATCAATTGCAAAAATATCAATTATTTAACATCAGACGCCAGCAGAAAGGGAGGGGGAAATAAAAGAAAATCAAATGGATGAAAGAGATAATAAGTAATAATTCAAAATTATGAAATAAGACCACACAATAATGCAAAGAGTTTTTAAATGTTTATCCCCAATTTTACCCCAGATTTGATAAAACCAGAGAAATACTTAGATATTTTGATCATTATCAAGAATAAAAAGCAAAGTAAACATTTTTTATGCACAAGTTGACATTGTTTATGTTCCTTCAAAATTAAAGATTTTAATTAATTTCTGCGATTTTCTTGGGTCATATTTCAGGGGATAACACATTTATATATTGAAAGTATATAAACATATATATATCATCATATATACACACATATATATATATATATCATCATCAACGCTAAACGTCTTGTAAGATAGCGCACTCAACAACACTTCTCCAGTCACTGTCAGAGCGATTGTTAGCTAGTATGTGCATAGACCTATCTATATTTCCTTTAGTGTCCCTCTCAATTTTGTTTATCCATGTGGTTTTTGGTTTTTTTACAATATATAATATACTCAGAACCCTATAACCTCCCACATGAAAAAAAGTCAATTTCTAATTAACCTAAATAACCCTTGGCTAAGAGCAGACATGTCCTGAATCCATAGCAAAATAGGTCAGTATAAGCTTTCAAATTCAAGATGGATTCCTTGAATCAAATGAGCATGCTTTGCAGATGTTTTTTATCACTCCATTAGCAAGAAATTATATCTTGCTTTATCATCACTTCTTTATTCTATTCTGCTTTTTACATTAGTAATGTCTTTTATATGGTACTTAATGTTACTCTCAAGACACTTACACTATAATAAGGGAAACAGTATATTAAAAGAATAAAAGTATCATAAAAATCTGTTAATAATTTGCAATACACCATTACTCATTCAATGTTTCTTAAAAAATACAGAATAATTGCTATTAGTATAACAGAATTTTTAACTGATTATGTTTATGATTACTAAAATGATTACATTATATTTCTGTTATATTTATTCGCTGTCTAGCATTCTTTATTTTGAATCGTCGTGTTGGCAATCTGATTTTTGACTTACAAAGAGAAGTAGTCTCCTTGATGGAATTACGCTATTATAAAAACATCAAGAAGATGCAAGAAAGCTGAATTGGACTTGACTTTCTATTAAAAAGGATTCTCATATCGATAATTGAAATAAGAAATATAAATCCTTGATGTTGACTACTGCAAATTTCTTCAACCCCCCACCAAAAAAATTTACCGTAGCAAGTAACCATAACATACTGTAAATAAGAATGGATTTATTTTACTTTATTTTTTATCCTGTAAACCTAGAATAGATATCATATATCATCAACAGTCTCCACTTGAAATGTACACATAGCTAATCCAACTGTTCCCTAGCCAAACTCATGCTTAATGTAACTGTACTCCTGTTGTCAGTGATCCGTGGCAGCCGGTATTAGTAATACCTGCCTGTACTAGCTTCAGCATATGCTACTCTACATCAACCTTTACAGATCCAGACATTACTTGTACATATAATGTTGTAACTGTTAATCTTATAGTCAATGACATTATTTCAAATAATCTAAACACGTGTGCATTTCAGATGATTTACACATCTAATGTAAAGACACATACAAAACATGTTCGATCAGTCCTTAAATTATAGGCAGGGTAAGCTTCTATCCAAAAATGATACTGTACTTCAATCAATCAACCAATCAATATATTAATAAGGGGAATTACACAGTTGACTCAATGCGCTTTATAATATTTTCAGGATAGATGTACTTTCCTCAGGTAGAGTCTCACCTCCGGTATCCCACACCGACTGTACGTCCAACTTCTTGTACAAGCATTCCTAGGCAAAGTCAGAGGGTATAATTTGGGTGATTAGATCGGTGAATTTCACAAATAAGGGACCGAATAATTACAGTTAGGGTGTTCCCTCTCCTTCGATGCTCGAGTAAAGTCTTATTTCTTCACCGGAATATAATTTTGGATAGGCCATTGAACTTTGAATTTAAATGCATCTGCATCACTTTGCAAAACGATCATCATTTTCGGTTCATGAACGAGAAATCCCCAGGTATAATCCCAAAATCATACCAATTTCACGTTCATGGGGGGGGGGGGGGGGGGGGGGGGGAAAGGGGAGTGGGATTATACCCAGGGAACTACAGTAATCTTTTACATACTGTACATTGAACTATAGACTTCAATATGATGCTGGTTTTTGAGGGGGCAGGATGTTTTGATCAATGTGAATTCTGGAGCCTACAGGGATTAGAACCCGGACCCAACAGTTGTGGACCAAAGGTACAATAAATGAGTCAAATGCTCTTAAAATCAACTAAAACAGCATACAGTAGTATTATCACCTATGATCTCCTCTGCAACTTTAAAGCTACCTTCAAACTGAAGGCCCTGAACCTATACTCTAAAGTTTAATATTTATCCTTCAATAAGCCTGAATAAATCCCTTACAGAAGATATCTGAAACCATTGAAATTATCTAGATATTGATGTCTAGCATATGCAGAAAACAAGTGGCAAGCAATCTAACAGACATAATAAATAGGGATGTCACTTATGCTTCTTTCACAGTATAAACCAATCAATTTGTACCAATGCCAATGTGATTAATGATATAATATAAATGGTATGAAAGGTATCAGATTGTAATTTTAAGTCAAAGCAAGCATACTTGTAAAAATCAATATGGTGTTGAAAAGAGATGGGTTTCAATTTCAGTATTGATTTCATTAGTAAATTTAAGTAAATAACAGAGATTGATGAAAGTGAAGTAATAAAATTGTACTTAAGAAATATATATTCAAATTCAACTTTATTGCAATCATTCATTTATATTTTGATTGGATGAAACAGTTTAAAGTACTAGGATTGACAAAATAACAAAGAAAATAAGACAAACAAGAAGGTTTTGGAGGAGGGGGGAAACACAAAAAATTACATCAAGAAATTAAGAAACCTTATTAAAACATGATTAAGAAAAAAATAAAACCAAGTCAAAATTCAAAAGCAAAAGATAATGAATTTAAATTGCAATTAAAAAAATCAATAACTTAGAATAAAAAGGTATAAGGGGTCAATAAGAGAACATCAAAAATGTACATTTTTAAAATCATGTTTATTTCATATCATTGTAATCATAATCACCACAAATCAACATCATCACCAATATCATCATCATAACCATGTCATATCATATCCATATATGGGCAAATTACAGGTATTTATTACATAAAACTTGATAAAACAGAACTTAAGATAGATATACACATGATATTTCTATTTGTCTGTAAAGATCTATCTAGACAATCAAATTATACATGACAAACACCTGTGATTTGCCCATATATGGGTATAATTTGAAATCATTATACTCATTGTGTGTGATAAGTTATCATCATACTCATATATGGGTAATTTATACAAGCATATCACATAAAACCTGATAGTACGAATAGACCATTACGCTTTGTCCAAAACACACTATTATTAAACATTTTATGACAAATGATCATTTGCCCATAATTAAGGGTGTAATATATCATCATGTCCATCTATCACACAGATTTTTCCTACTGTATAAAATGTGATAATGTGGACAACAGATAATATCTGATCAAATTTTATCTGAATACGTATTACATTATCAGACTAACACGTGGAAAGGAATAATTTGTATGGTTAGATATGACTGAAGGAAGTGCACACACTATATAGAGAAAATCTGACAAAAAATTGTCAGATAAGAAATTGAGTGTGTGCACCTGGAATTAGGTTACATAAAGCGAATCATTGCATTGCAATCATATCTACATAGCCTCCTAGTAAAATTCCAGAAACTATATTTTTCAGAAGTAATCAATACAGTTATACATCTGCTACATGTTCAATATGCTGACAGATGTACGGGTTAACAAAAAACACAATTCTCTGTTATGTTTTTAATACGCTATCACATGTGCGTATGTATGACTATATTGTATTAGTTTTTATACATTAGGTGGGCGTATGGTATATTTAACTACATCTTCATCAATCATGTTTTAAATGCAAACAACATCAGTAATATGACAAGCTTGAGCAGTAGATAATGTACAAGCTTATCAAAAGATATTAAATAAAGGGCAGATGTAGTTACATAGCTATTAATAATATGAATCGTGTTGTTTATGTCAAAATGATATTCAAAAAAGCCAAAATCAATATATGTACATTTTTAAAAATTTTACCAGTAATACTAAAAATGTTCATTTGGAAGTTATACTAATACATCATTTACATTTTAAAAGATGAATTGTCTGTGATAAATCTGAAAAACTCAAAAAAACTTTCATTTAAAACAAAATTAAATAAATAATAAACTTGCATTAAGACAGATTTCTTTTTTCTGAAAGGAATTCTTATTAAATACCAATATCCTTAAAAAATTATCTGCCATGCAAAGAATATGAGAACATATGCTTTACAGTATGTGTCTATATGATGAATCCATCTCTACTCTTTGTGAGCTCTTATCAACGCGAGACTGTCTGGTGATAAGCCACCTCGTAGTTTAAACTGTGTTTTAAAAAAAAAAGTCAGTCCCGCGTCTGTTTAACCAATCGAAAGATTGTATTAGGTTGAAGTCATTTTGTATCCATAGGTAATGTGCAAAGGACGATTCGGATGGGGGAAAAAAATACATGGTGGAACACAATTTCAACGATGAGCGATGAAATGGCAAATAACTAATTTCACGTGGTACGTAATCAACCAATCAAATGACTGGGATCTATTTAGGTGTGTTATAAAAACAGTTAACACACACATACTGTTTATTCACTTTGAATACGGGCATGCGCAGTTCTAACTACACAGTAGTTTACTGCCGATGACCAGACTGAGTTAATCATCCTTAAAATTATCCATTTTTAGGCCCAATACTGTTCACCATCATGGTTAATGATCTGCTGAAACATGTGCCGGATAAATGGAAGTTCGTGGATGACCTAACGATTGGCAAAGTAATTTCTGTGAAGAATCCTGAGAATAGTCAAATGCAAAATAATCTCAATGATCTTGCAAGCTGGTGTATTGAGAATGATACAACGCTGAATCCTTTTCAAGTGATGCGCATCCACTTCCTGCGGAATGTGCCACAATTTGAGCCACTTCAAATGAATGGTGTTATTCTTGAGGAATCACAAAGTGTAAAACTTCTTGGCGTCCATCTTCAAAGTGACCTCAAGTGGGACATGCAAATTAAAGAAGTTGTGTCCAAGGCATCACGTAGGCTTTATATGTTGCATATTTTGAAGCGATATGGAGCCTCAACTGATGATCTTATTTTTACCTTTAATATGTATATTCGTCCCATTTCAAAATATGCCAGTTCTCTTTGGCATTCTTCAATTACAAAAAAACAGAGTGATGAGCTTGAATTTGTTCAAAAACGAGCAGTTAAAATTATAATTGGATATCGGAATTATGATAGTTATGCGAATTCTCTTGATGTACTGAATTTAAGTACGTTGCATCAGAGACGAATTATTAATCTCCTAAATTTTGGAAAGAATCTGCTATCATCAGAACGCTTTAAGGAATGGATCCCAGTAAGAGAAGAACCAATAAGATCACTTCGAAAGGTTAATCGGTATTTTGTACCACACTGTCAAACAAAAAGATTTGCCAAGTCAACTATTCCAAGTGTTATTGGACTGTTAAATAAAGATTAATTTGGATAATTGGCAATGTACTTCCTGAATTGAACTGGTTTTGTTTTGTTTATTGATTTTTTAATGTGTAATGTAATTGTTCAAATAGGGCTTGACTGTTAACTGTTTTTAATGAAATTTGTATATATTTGTAAAAAATTCTAATTAATTGATTTAATTAATCAATTTATGCTGATTGAAATTTTAATATTAATTGTAAATAATAAATAATTAAATTTTTTTTGTAATTTGAAATTTTTTTCAAATGTTAATTGCTGGTTTTATATTTCTGTATTTTTCTTCATTGATTTTATGTAAGCTCTTCATTTCAATCTTGAATTGTATTTTGAGTCTTTTTATACCTGAATAAATAAATTGTTAAAAAAATTTTTTGCAAGGCTCGTCTCATTGCATTCTCAAAGAAATCGCATAGGTCAATGATTAACAACGCCAGTGTGCGTCTGGCTTTACAGACACAAGGCTGAATAGAGAAGAGAATGATTACTTACTCTGGGACAATTTCTAAGGCTTCTTTGGCAGCTTTGATCCTGTTTTGTGGATTCCTCTCTCTCCATGCTCTCAACATTACTAAGGACATAAGGTGAAACTATTTTATACCTTGTTGCTCAAACTTTTTTTTTTTTAAAGATCATCATCAGAGGGGGAAAAATATAAATAAAATATTGTTTTATATTTAGCAAATACTTTTGCCAAAAACATCCATGTGAAGGAGAAAATAAAAATAAAATTTTATTGGTGAATGTAAATAGTGTAGTAATGGGATGGTTAAAAATAAATGCTTTAAATTTATATGATTAGGAAGAAATATAAGTATCTTTTTTTTTAATTTCAAGACAGCGGTGGGCGTACGGTAATATTTTAAAGCATCACTGTGCAATTTCATCAAAAATATGTTTATATTACTTTCAAAACATTCAGTAATATTTTACAAATTTTAGATTTATTTATTGTCCATAAAATTTCTAATAATTCTTATTTTTATATATAATATTAATACAATATAATACATAAATTTAGAACAGAATATTAATTTTTCAAACATACTAATATATTTGGTTAAACATAATTAATGATATACAGTAGTTTCCATTCACTTTCTAACTTACTTTCTTCAGCTGGTTTTGTGTTATCTGCTTCACACGTGAATAGAGTCTGATGATCCTGTGCGGACTGGTTCATGTCGTAGTATGTTAAAGGATCTTTCCCTGTCACCCATATGTACCGGTTATACTCGGACCCTCGAAACAGGTTTAAAGGATTCCTCCATGTTTTACATTCTATAGAAGGAAATGAAATTATACAAATTTAGTCAGTGATAACCATTTAGCCATGTATGCACAACAGAATACAGTAGAACCCCTCCCCCTTTGGGACACTACTCCTATTAAGGGAAAAATTTTTATGAAATGAATGTGTCCTCTGAATAAGGTTTCTACTGTATGTTTACACTTTATCTATCATATTTGTATAACAACATCGACTTGATTGGAGTACTGTTTATGTGCTGCTAATATCAGCCGTTGTTAGTACTAATCCACCTTCCATACCTCAGTGACCCTCATTTAGTTACTATACCCATAGATATAAGAACTCAGTCCATCCCTGTATGCTACATAAAACTAACGATATCATTATTATTATTCTTATTATTATTGTTATATTACTTATTTGAAACTTTATCTGTGCAATTTATTGTTAGCATAGCGAAAGTTAACCTAGTAATATACAGCCTCAACAAAAACACTGGAAAATACAAAACGTACAATGTAAATTCATGAAAAATAATTATTAATATATGAATACAAAATGGATATTGTCCATAATAATGGAAAAATAATTAATATAATGAATATAGTCTATAACACTGCTTCTACCTGGAGCTGTGTTCTGTCCTGAATTATTACTGTTACTGTTTTCACCCCCTCCGAGCCAAGGTGACAGGTGGTTTAGAGAAACCTGCTCAATAAAAGATGTTCCATACTTTCGAAAGTACCACCATTCAAAAATCTACATTTAAAAAGAGAATAAAAAAAAAATTGGAAGTTTGAAGACATTAAATTTTAATACATGACATAAGAAAAATCATCTGATCACTATAATTCTATATCAACAAAATCATGAATCATTTTAAATCATCAATCATCATTACAGCTACCATCACCATTGTCCATCATTTATCATTGTTATCATGATTTACTATCATTAATAGCCATTGTTATCCTTATTATTATTATCAACATCATCAAAAGGACATCAATGACAGGGCATATGGGGTAACCCAAGGATCAAGTAAGGTAGGCTTAATGTAAAGTGGCAAGGCTTAGAATTATAGAGTAGCCCTCCAAAATAAATGAATTTTTTTATCACTGAAGATTTCAATCACTTTTATCACCCCAGTGGCCACTGCACTTCATAGCCTGCCTCCACTCACGACGGTATTAGTCATTATGATCACCATCGTTATCAACATCACTACCATCAGTACCAGTGGCGTATCTATGGGTGGGTGCATTCCCTCAAAAATACTTGTGCACGCCCCCAAAATATACCCTGCTCTCCCAGTTTCCCTATCCCCACCATCCCAAAAAATCACAATACCATCTTGCAAGCTAGCATTCTTACACTTAAAACAACCACCACCACCAAGATGTGTAAACCAAACAACGGTGAGCAATGTTGCATTCATTTTGTGAACTAATGTTCACATTTGTTAGCATAAATTTAACACCTGAGACATGCCTGACCCTTGAAATAGATCAAAATCATCATCACTTTAAAAGCATACTCTAAAATTATGAAACACAAAATGTTCGATTTTCCTATTTAGCTCAGCATGACTCAAATGTTAATTTTATGCAGTCGGCAACATTAATTCGCATTAATGGCCAGGTCATGATGCATAATATGTTAATACATCAGTAATACATTAGTAGACATACTGTACAACTCAATATCTCATCACCATTCTACATTAATGCATACAATTTGCCAACATTCTATTCTACAGTATATTTTTGAAATGCATTATTGTTATTTATTATTATTATAATTATTATTATATTTATTATTATTATTAATTTTATTATTATTATTATTATTATTATTCGACCTTATATTCTCATCTTTTTCTAAATTACATTTCAAATTGTTTATTTGATTCAACATTTAGTTTATAATTTTTAGTATGCTGTCTTTTGTACTTTAATGTAGGTTTTTGATGTGCATTTTTATCTTTATTATATCTTTATTATTGTATTCCACCCTTTTATTCTATAGTACTGTGTTGTCTTCTTTACAATGCAGAGTATGTTTATGATCTATATTATTATTTTGTACCGAAATTGAATAAATTAAGCAAACCGACTGTCTAAGCACAAATGCTTTTGTGCTGTATGAAGATTTACGAAATTCATAATTAGATGATTGAATCACCAAGTAAATGTATATAACAGTAGATGTTTTTGAATAACTTAAATAAATCATTTCCATGTCACCATGTTCTCAGCAAGTATGTCAGAGTGTAAGAAATGTCCAATGATTATTATGTTCACTTCGGGGGAAGTATCAAGTCACCTGCTGCTCATGACGTCAGCTATGATGGCAACATTTACCATAAATGACAAATTTTAATAATCGGCTCTTGAAAATAATGCTCTCTAGTAACGGTCGTTGAAAGTGGTTGAGCATGACCACATGAAGGAGAATGAAAAAAAAAACAGATAAAAGAAATATAATATATAAAAATAAAACTTGACAATATGGACACAGCTTGGTAAGTAATTTGTCCTTATAAAGTCATGATGATGTCATATACCATATTAGGAAAATTGCAGATACTTGTTACATAACGCTTGAGAGTATAAACCGAGCTTTATACCTGGCTTGGCGTACAGAAAAGTATTACTTAATTCGTTGTAACAGACAACACAATAATGACACTGCAATCAGAATTCTGGACTATGGAGCCTAATCCCCATATCTTATTCTGGATTATGGAGCCTACATGAACCATCACCACTTAACCTATTTCCAATACTTGAATAGAATGTAACTTAAAGTGATAATGATTCAATATACAGTTTTCGACACTTTTAAGAATTCTGTTCATCAGTAAATTCTAATTTAATGACAACAAGCTGTATAGTGTACTTTGTGTGTGAGACAGATTGAAGTAGGCAAGCAATTCATAATGGCTGAAGCATTACTATTACCATGTCATAAACACATATTAGATTGTCCGCTGGGAAAAGATAGAAAATTCTAACAAATTAAATCTAAACAGCTAATTGCTCATTTAATAGGAGTTTTCAACTTTCCAAATGAGAAAAAATTTGAACAATTCGATTTTCATTGATATACACACTTTTTATTACAAAAATCTAGGAAATGCCGACACCTAAATGCAATATAAACTCGAATTGCTAAATTTATTATCTTTCAATTAAAAATTAGAAGAACAAGAACAATAGTCCTCACCAAATAACTGACACTTAAATAATACCACCTATATAGTTTAGTACACATCCTTTAATATAAATTTCTGGAAGCAAATTAAGAATTTCCATGGTAAAAATTAACTTGTGTTTACCAATTTAACTTCATCTGTTAATTAATGAGGAAAATGCTTCAATATTGTTCATCAAATCTTTGATTTAAAGTTTACCATATTTGCTTAACTGAGAATAGTACAAGATACAAGATAACTTTATTGTCAGATAGGAAATTACATTTGGATATCACATCGCATAAACAATTTTAAAAAGTCAAACATATAAATATAAAGGACGTGTTAGATTTAAATTCTGACATAAAGTCTATATTACAATATATACAACAAAACATTACATATAGGAAATGCATTTAAGCCAACCAACCATTAAAGATTTTAAATATAGAACAAAGGAGTTATTGTTTATGTAAAACTATGTTTTGGTTACTTTTTAATCCCTTTTGGAAAATAAAAATAAAAATATATCAAAAAGAAATATAAGCAAAATAAACAGATGTTAGTTCACATTGTCAGTGAGCAATATATGCAGGTAGGTACAAGAGTCCTAATGAATTTTGCTCTACTTATTTGCTCTACTTATGATAAGAAAGAAGGCTGAATAAAAAAATTTAAAAGCAAGGAGAGTCACTTGTAAGTTGTACTACAGTGGAAAATCAAGGTGCTGGTAATGATAAAGTTGAGTCGTGATAAAGATGGTGATGGTAATTATGAATCATAATGATCATGAAGATGGTAATACTAATAATGATGATGATGATAATGAACACTTACTAATAATAATAATAATAACAATAACAATAATAATAATAATACTACTAATAATAATAATAAAGATAATCATTACAGAATTGTCACCATCTATGTCATTATTATCCTTATTAATTTCATATTTATAAACTTGTTAATCATTGACATAAAAAAGCAACATTACTTTAGTGAAATTTAACCTTCCACAAATCCAAGAAATTCAATAACACTTAAGAAGACCACTGTTCTTACATCGTTGCTGGGTTTGAAATCATCATCTGCATTACTATACCATACATTAAATCGCTGGCTAAGTTTCATACAGATAAGACCATGTACAGAAACATATTTCACATTTGGATTAATGTAATTTGGACCCAGCTCGCATCCATTTAACCATCTGAAGTCAATGAAATTTAAGTCGGTGAATGATATTTTTAAATATAAAAAATTAGTGGAATAAATGCAGCTAATTATAGATTCAACATGATAATAGACCTTTCCGGGCTGTCAATCAAACTTCCAAGTAACCAATCAGAACAAGGCATATACGCGCTGTTTACAAACACGTTTTCCACACAAACGCACACGAGTTACGAGTTTGTGCAGTGCGAGAAGCGACGTCGATGATATGACTATGCAGTACAAGAAAACCTTTACCATGAAGCCAAAAAAAGAGAAAAAAAAAATGCCTAGGCCTACTGTCAGTGGAATATGGCTTGTGGAAGACGGCATGTCCTATATTTCAACAGGGTAAACAAGCATACAGCTCAACGGTAGGATCTCATATATTTAAGTTAAGTGAAGCCTACAAAAATAATCGGGTCGCGTCGGGGTTGGCCTAGCCATAGGCCTATTCCGATGTCGATCTTCTCCAATGCCTAGGCCTACATTTTAAGATATTCGACCTCAGCAGCTGCATTCCCCGATGAATCGCGCCTGATCTCTCAGGACATAGGGCCTGGTATTAATTTTTCTAATAAATTGTGATCTATAAATAGATTGAGGAAAATATTCAACAGTAAATGTCAATGCAGGCCTTACCTAGGCAGCTTAGATTAGGCCAATGTAGGCCCTAAAATGTATTTAAATCCTTAGCCTAGCTGCCTCTAATATGCATGAGATTTTTGTGTTTCGTACAAATCATTAATAAATACAATATATACTTTTATTTCATAGCATTTTGTTATTGGAAACCTGACCCAGTAAATGCAGATGGAACAGTACCAACTGTGCGTAGACGTCCCCTACCAGAAATAGAGAAACCAAAACAAAATATCACAGAATGTAAGTTAGGATAGTCATGAGTAGATTTTTCATATGATTGAAAAACGGTAACTGTAGACCTACAGGATTTATTTGGTATACAGGAGTTGGTGCTGAAGTTTGTTACCACTTCTATTGTAAACTTGAATATTATTAAGAAAAGTAAATAAAGAGAATAATGTTGGCAGCATGTGCAATATAAAAAAAAACAATTGTAAAAATAAAGAATAACAATTTTAATAGATGCATAACATTGAGAACATTAT